AGAGAGAGAGAGAGTTTTTTGGTGTTTTCATTATCATGCTTGGCTTTGTTTGACAGGATCATTGGTTAATGTTGTCATCCCACGCCCAGGTCCCATTGGTGAACAATTTCCTGGAGTAGGAAAGGCGAGTTTCTATATAAACTTTCCTTGCTCCAAAAAAGAGAGAAAAGGAACTTTTCTTGTTTCCGATCCAAATCATGTAGACCCTGGAGCTCATAAATTATTTTCTATGAGAAAAGAATCGTTGAATATTAATATTTATGTCTTATATTGAATAACCACTGCCCTTTTTTTATACCAATTTAACTTTTGACATTGTTGGTTCTTTTTCACATTTTCTTGACAGGTTTTCTTAGAGTATTCAGACACTGAGGGTGCAAGTAAGGCAAGGGCTACTCTCAACGGGAGAAAGTTTGGGGGCAACACTGTGGTTGCGGTTTATTATCCTGAGGACAAGTTCTCAAGGCAAGAATACGATGGTTAGTTTTCAAATCTCATATTTCTTTTGCCGGCAACTCGTATTGAGGATCTGAATATGGGAGAGCAAAACAATATTAACCATGATGATCCATTAGCCCCTGTAGCAGTTTCTCTCTCCTCTGTAACTTTACATTTTATTTCACCCTGTTGTAAATTCTAAATGGATTAGTAGGTAGGTAGAGTTGAACTTTGCACTTTATTTTTCTTTTTTTCTTTTTTTTTTTGTTTTTTGTTTTTTGATAAATGAACCTTGCTCTTCCTCTATGGACCCGTTTTGTTTTGGGATTACACAGACCAAAGGAGTTGGTTTGTTTTTTTGTTTTTTTTTGTCATATATATATGGTGATTTTATTTCTGGAACCTTTTGTGAGATGTTGCCTTCTGGTATTGCGTGCTGTTTATCTGATTTAAGATGGCACTGGCAGGAACTGGTCAATGTCCAGTTAAGTCCTACCTTTTTTTAGCAGTAATAGCTTAGAGAAAATGCATGAACCCTTGCTTGGGTTGGTTGGAAACTGGTTGGCATGACTCTGTTTTGGTTGTTTCTATAGAATGTTTGGGGTAATTCAGTGTGGAAGACAGGCCCAACCCATTTATTCAAATAGTTTAGGAGTTAGTTTTTTTTTGTTTTTTAAAGGTGTTAGTAGAATAAAAACCACAATGTGGTGACTACACCCCTACCCAGCCCCTTTCCCAATTCTATAGAATGTTTTGAGAGAGGGAGATATTGCCCATTAGTCCCATAAAGAGAGAGAGGGGCTGTTAGTATCATCGTTTATGGTACTAACGGCCGTTAGTACCATCGTGTAATTGCTGTTAAAAAATAAATCATGTTTGAGCTTTTGTGTGAGAATGATGTGCTGTAGAGAGGCGGAGAGAGAGCTCCGATTAGTCTGAGCCTGCAAGAGAATGAGAGCTCCGATTCGTCTGAGCCCGTGTAATTGCTGCTAAAAAATAAATCAGCACATGTTTGCTCTGCAAACTTACTCCTTTCCAAATCTCTCGCGATCATCAAACTCTATATTTTGGGAACAGCTGTACATTTGCGATTGAGCTCTTTTGACCCCAAAATTTTTGTTTTTGTTTTTTTGATTTGTTCCTCGCATACTTAACACGGGTTTTGCTAATCTTCTCTGTATTGTTCCAACTTTATCGAATGTCTCTAAAAGGACTGGATTGAGCAGATTCCTGCACCGTGATAACCGTATCATGAGCGAGGTTCGATTCATTGTTTTCTTGATAAAAAACATGGCAACCTTTCAATGCCTTGAGGGCATCACTTCAATCGGGGTTCCTAGAACTTCGTACTCCAATTAGTTTAGTGCAAGTTGAAGGTGTGACATAGAGATATCGTTAGAAATGCTAAAACTAATATGAAAAGTGCATACAACATTTAAGGAAAGGAAGAGGTGTAATTTACTCTATAGTGAGACGAGCAATATATAAAAAAGGAATGCGTAAGAAGGTCATCAATGTAGTAGGTGCCACATTATTTTGTTTTGACGTCGAAAGTACCACTTCCACGAGGTTCAGGTTAAGATCAATTTATGCTCATGTACCCTTAAAATAAAATTATTATGAAAATTCCCCAATTTTTTATTGTTGTTATTATTCTTCTTTTAAATATTAGTTTCTCAAGATGCCCTTGCTTTAGAGTTGACCATGGACCATGGCTTCCAATCTTCCATTTTTTTTTTTTTTTTGTGACGATTCAATCTTTCGTGGTCTGAAGCAAAGTTTTTTTCATAGTCCAAGGTCATGTTTTGACCGATTTCGAATGGGATTGAAGTCCTTTCGATAAATCTTTCATTCATGTCGTGCAAGTTTGAAGTCAATACTTTCTCAATTTCTTTTTTTTTTAAAGCCAAGTGGTGTTTCAAATCTGCCAAATTTTCTTTTACTATGACTCGGTCCTTCATAGTCCAAAGTGAAGTTTTTTTTAGTGTGATTTCATGTTCTGAAGTCAAGTTTTGGCTGTCTTCAAATCTTTAAAGATTGGAGTCATTTCAATAAAGACCCGTTTCTATGTGGCCAGCCCACATATTGTAGAAATGCGGGCCCGGTAATATATATGTTTTTTAAATATAATTTGATTTTAATTTTTCGAGAATATATAATCATATTATTAATATAAGAAAAATAAAAATATAAAAAAAATAATTATATTAAAAAACCATTTGGACAGTTAGTTACACTTGTTTTTAGATAGGCCACCTATTTGCATCCACTTTTAAGAAGGATGTTTTATACTTCTAGACCGCATATTGTAGAAATATAGTCCAGCCCGCATGAAACAAATTTTTTTTCAATAAATATGTAATTCATGTCGTGAAAGTTCAAAGACAAGATTTTGGTTATAAGTCGAGCAACTTTTGATGTTGAAGGTTTGAGGCCATGGCTTGAAGTCTTAACCCCCAATCTTCAAAATCCGTAGGCGACTGCAGCAAAGTTCTTACTTGGTCCATCAAAGTTCTAAGTTTGGGTATTTTGAAAATAAAATTGTATGAATAAAAAAAGGGAAAAGCTTATATAGAGCCGAGGCTCTAAACAATCACATTCGAGCCTTTCTCAAAAATTTCACTACATGAGATTGTTTTGATGCCTAAAAATCCTCAAATTGATCATCTTGACATCGAGATGCATGGACATGAGAAAAAAAATTGATTTTCAGTTTTGAAAATAATGTATTTTATAATTCATTTTTTGATTATTAATTTTCAAGATTTTCAAGTTTTCATAAATGTATAGATCTGCACCATTTTTGAAGCTTTAAACTTTATAAATAACGATAAAAATATATTTTAAAGCTATCACAATGATTTTCAGTGCTCGAACCACATTTCTCGATGCTATTTAAAGATAGGTGATTGTTTAGAGCCTAGGCTCTATACAAACCATACCCAAAAAAAAAATTCAAAAATTCAAATTTTTTTTACAATAAATTAATTGAGGGGAAGCATAAATTTCTCACGTATTCCCGCTTCAATAGTAGGTAGATATCATCTCGCCATTGGGCAAAATGTTGTGGTTATTTGTTTATCATTTTACCGCTATAAATAACGGGAAAGGGCGTTCAGGCGGTCTCCATCTTTCTCAAAGCGAAAAAATTTCACATTTTGAACCCCAGAAAAAACAGAGAAAAAAGTTGCAGAAATGGGGTTAGGGTTTGTAGAGGTTACTGAAAGAGGAGAAGCAGGAAAACCTTATTTCGACCATGAAAATGGCGAGGAGCTTATGCACGTCGAACCAGAAATAGCTCTGGTTTTCGGCACCAACCCTCCTGAATCGCCTGGCACTCTTTACATCTCTTCAAAGTAAGGACTCTAGTTTCTTCTCTCTCTCTCTCTCTCTCCAGAACGACTTCTTTTTCAGTTTTTGGCTCTCTAAAACATATTATTGGATTGTTTATCTGCCTGTGGAGCTTGTTTGTTGAATTCATTATCGTTCTAGGATTTATCCGTTTTTTTTGGGGTTTTTTATGTTTTATTTTGGTTGTTTTTATAGGAGAGTGGTTTGGTTAAGCGATTTGGATAGGCGAAAGGGGTATGCTGTCGATTTTTTGTCTGTTTCTTTGCACGCGATCTCGAGGGATCCAGAGGCTTATCCTTCACCATGCATTTATGCTCAGGTATTAGTGCTGTTTTTTTTACTGTATTTCAGGATCTTTCTTTGGTTTTTTTGGGTTTGAGAATTATAGAGGCTTGATATTCTATGATTGTCAGGAGTTTTGGATTTTTCAATGTTGTCTATGCCCATTTATTGCTTGGGGGTTTATTTAGCTGGAAGAAATAGGCTCTAGGGTGAAGTCCGTAAAATTGGTGTAGTTGTACTGTTTTTGCCATAATTTGGTGGATGCTCGTAAACTTGGGTTTGTGAGTGGAGTGCTTTTTGATTGGGTGGAATTTTTATTTTTTGTGTTCTTTTCATAGTTTTTGAAATTGGAATTGTGGAGTTCGGACAAGTTGAGTTTGATCATTCCATTGTCTACTGGTTAGTTTGGTTTGCACTGATACATTTATGGTTAATTGCAAGCAATTAATTATTGAGATTATTGGAAATCAGTACAGAGTTATCTAACCCATAACGGCGTAAATCGTAGTTAAGCAGAAAATTCCTGAGAATTCCAAACAATTTCTTTGAACATATATAACCCCTGATTATCGGCATGTGGCATACTTAGATTTCAACAATTCTAACTTAACTGAAGAAACTTAATGCAAACGGGAAAATGTCCAATGCTCCTACGGAATATTATGTATGGTACTCATACAGCCAATCCAACATCCGTAGGTATTAACAATTGCTTGAGATGAGTCTTTGCCCTATCTTTGAAGTTTGTCTTGTTTGTCAGCACAACAGCTGCTTATCTCCACTGTCCATTAATAAGTATGAATGTTGGATGGCTGGTCTGAGTACCTCCCACTGTACTTGTTAGAATAGTGGGATACAGCCCAAAGATAAAGATTAGTCATTTTAAATATGTATTTTAACATTTGGGGTTTTCTCCCAACAGTTTCCTTTAAGTAAATAAAATGTTAGTTCATCTTTTTCTCAAATAAAAAAGAGAGGAAATGTTAGAGCTCCGCATATCATAATTACTTCAAGTAACAAAATAAAAAATTGAAATAAAAGTGTTAAATATACATACCAATTGTTACTTGAGTCTACCAAATCACAGATCTCCTGGCCAGATACCTATTCTGTTTGAATTCACTATTGATTTTTCATGGATGCGCCATGAGATACACTGGAAGTTTCAGAAACAATGTATTCAAGATCATTAATAGATTGAAAAGCAAAAAAAGCTATTTCAGAACCCTGAGCCTAATAATTCTTTGAATAAGATGCATTATAGTGTAAGGGGAGTTGTTGGAAGTAAGGAATGAGCTCGGAACTTGGAGGGTGTCTTCCCTGATGTTCATATTGGGCTTGGCGCTTAATTTAAGAAGTATTCAGAATTCAGTGTCAAATTTTCTTTTATTTTTCATTTCTGATCAAAGCCATTGTCATTAATTTTTTGATGGTTCTTTTACTTTTCAGGCTTAGTTATAGAAACAGTTGGAGGCTTACTTTTGGGATGTTTGTTTGGGAACTGGCATGAAGTCTATGAACAATTCATGGTTGAAGAGTCAAAAGATTCTTGCTCAGGTTGATCTAGGTTAGGTAGTCAAGTCCAATTTCTTTGATGTGATAATTCTATCACTGTCTTCATTGGTTATATTCAGTGTAAAAAGTTGTCTGCTCTCATGAGAACAAGTAAAACGGCCATATAGGGGTTTCTTGAATTGTGAATCAAAAAAATTAAATTCTTTCTGATTTTTTTTATGTAGCATTCATTTCTTTCTGAATATCAATGGCTGCTGTTTGTGGAAGGTGGCTTGCTTAGTGGGACTAGATTTGTGGCTGGGAAATAATTTCTTCCTGTCGTTTTTTGTGATATACAATATCGTCATCGTTCCTATCTCCATCCCATTTAAGTAGTTTGTTAAAGCTTGAAATGTCTCTTTTTATATTTGGAGCTTTGAAATTTTATTTTGGTGTAGGCTCTGTTTATGTGTCTTGGCACTTTATTCAGAAGCTCTTTTTTCCTCTTATTGCTGCATCTGTCAGCGTTCAGAATACTTCTAAGGAAAAGAAAGGAAAAAGAAAATGAAAAGTGTGGATAATCTTAAATAATCTGTAGAAGTTTGTATAGCAATAAGCCTTGTCCAGTTGGCATATTTTTTACATTTTCTTTGACCTACATATTGTGTTCCTATGTTCATTGACTCAGAAGTATATGAAGGGAAACTGCTACTTAAGATTTGCGGCACTAGCATCTTATCCTTCATTTTTGTCTCTTTTTTTAGTTATCCAGAAAAATATCCCCTAATTGCTTTGAATGGTATTTGCGTTTCATCATTCTGAGTTTTATACTTTTTTGCAGATTGAGACAGAAGCTGCTAGTGGTGAAGAAGATGATTCTGATACCTCAGACACTGAACCTGATCGGAAGTTTGAGCTGTCAAAGGTCACAGAGATGCGCCTTGTGCCATCAAATCCCAGCCATTGTATCCTTGGATGTCTCTCACATGTATATACTTTAATAATTTAATTCACAATATTGTTTGCATGTTTCTGTTTCCTCTAATATTTTAGCCTCGCACATAACCGCAATCTAACTTAAAAAGCTTTTGTGAAATAAAGCTAGAATCTTACACATCTCTTTCAACAAAAAAGTTTGCTCCTTCCTTTTTGATATATGCCTGTGATGGGATCCTTAATTTGGTTTTTCCATAGTGGATACGTTGTTCAATGTTTTCTGTCAGTGTGCTGAAATGAATCCTGACCAAGATGAAGGTAGCGATCCTTTCTTGATTATTATATGGGTTTTTTCCTTTCTTTTTTTGAAGATCCCTCAAATTGAGTGACCTCTACCCATGATTTCTCCAGAGGATGGAGAAGACGCTGGCTGGGTTTTTGGGGATGAAGAGGCAGGGGATGATGATGCAGCTTTAGGTTAGTTCAAATAAAGTTTTATACTTATTTTTTATTCATAATTTTTCTTAGTATGTGGGGAACTTCCACTTATATACTACTGTTCTTCTCTGTAGATGAAGACTCAGGTTGGTGTTTCTCTGAAAATTTTGCCAATCCTATCGGTCACTCAAATGGAGTGAAGGATAATGACCTTTCACGTACCATACTTGAGGTGTGTATATATTCGTCTTTGCTATCTGTTAAAAATTCCTGCATACAAAAACTGGGAAGCATATCATTTGTGATGAATATATGATGCAACATGGAGACATCCATTGTCTGTTCTTGGTGACAGGCAGTGGAGTTCCGCTTTCGCCATAGTTGCTAATTATCCACTGGGGTCTAAATTGCAAAGACACGTACCCATGTATCATCGTCTGACATGGATAAGAGTGCTAGAAACATCAAACCTGAAAACTGCCCTTTCAGATACGCGGGTGTTACCTTGGCATTTTTTCTTTCTTGTGTTGCTTGTCCACACTAAATGTGTCTATATGCCTCAACAAGGGACGAAACTCATCTGTATGTGTCTGCGAAAATCTCCACCCCAACATGCTTATCGGTATGTATATAACAAGTGTCTCAATGAAATACATCCATCTCTAAATTATATTCATATAGAAGCACTATTCATGGGTATTGAACTTTTGACTTTCAAGGTAACGTTTAAAGGAACAGCCACCTTGCCCTCAAGGTGAGTTTTATCCATGTTACATACAATGATAGCACTAGTAGTAGCTTCTGTAGAGTCCAAATAGCCATGATGGCCATTTTGGCCATGCATTCATTATAGTACATAACAAATTAAATTAAAGTGATTCATGTGGGACTCAAATAAAGCATTTAATATAAGTTCTTTATTATAGTACAAATAGTGTTTGTCAAATACTACAAAAATCATTTACTATAGTAGAAATAGTGTTTGTCAAATACTATAAACGTACAAAATATTAAAGGGCATTGTATGGGATTCAAAAATATATAGCTCGCATGCACTACGAATTTTAATCCTATATGACTCAAAATTATATAATCCCACATGATAAAGTTACATTGTCCCACGCTTAAAATAATATAGTCGAATATGGTCTCAAAATATTTTATCTAAAATTTAATAAAACACATAATTTGTTTTTATTTAAATTATATATGCTGTAATGTTATAAATTTCATTTATTACTTTTTGAAATACTTTACAGATTTATGTGTATATTAGATTAGTATGTAAAAAATCATTACGGCCCCAAGATGCCCACACAACTTTATATATAAATATTTAGTATATACATAAATCATATAATAAAATAATATATGAAATCTTATGAGCAAAAGCACACGTTGGAAAATATAAATATATTCTTATTCAATAAAAACAAAAAAAATATTTTTCTATTCTTTTGTTTTTCAAAATATGTTTTTTCAACTTTATTTGGAATAATGCTTTGCATTATCTTCTTCAATAAAATAATATTTTGAAGTATCTATTAACATATTTGATAGTTATGTGGATAAAATCATGTATATTTTATCCTAAAAGGATTCACGGTGAAATTCCTCAAATGGCACTTTGCATTTTAGGAATTAAAATGTGAACCACATTTACATTTTAAAGATAAAATTTTATGCGACTATTGAGTTTAAGTGTGGGATATGTAATTTTGAGTCCTATAGGACTCTAATTTTGAGTCACATGGGATTATATAATCTTGAGGGCTTGTGGGTTATAATTTTTTTAGTACCGTATAATACCCTCTAATGTTTTGTATTTTTGTAGTACATAACAAATAGTATTGTAATAAGTGGCGTATATTGAATACTTCATTTGAGTCCCATGTAAATCTCAACTTTTTTTAGGGTAAAATAATGAATGCATTTTTAAAACGGTATTGATGCCGTTTTGGACTTTTCCAGAAACTATTTCTTTTGTCGCTACAATCGTACCATATGGATAATAAGACTTGCAGTAAAGTGTGAGGTCGCTATTCTTTCTAATGTTATCTCGAAAACGCATGGGTTCTAATCCCATGAACTGCGTTTTTATATGAATGTAACTGGAATACGGCCTGTCTGTCTTTCATTGAGACAATTTTTATATACATGTTGATTGTGTTTTGGGGCAGGGAGCTTCTTAGACTTATACAGATCACGTGTATATAGGGGAAATCATAGTCAGTAGCACTGATGCAAAACTGTGGACCTAGTTTCTGTGTTACATAATCTGGGGCACATTAAATCTCTCCTGTCTATTTGGAACAATGGTGAAAGTCTTTGTTGTGTACCTTGTACCATATTGCTAGTTCATGTATAGTTCCCTTTTTTCCCTTTGTTGACAATGAGTTGAGTTGTTTGCTATTGATGACAAGGTTTTGTTCGAAAGTAATCCTTTTTTTTAGATAAATATTTTAATTGCTTCCTATCATTAGTTCTTTGTTTTTTTATGCATGGCAGTTCCAAATTGATGATCAGCGATTTGATGATGCTGAGGAAATGGAAAATGATACCCATGCTGACAGTCGTCGATGACAACATCGCTCTCTCTCTCTCTCTAGCACCAGTGGTTTGCTAGAGATCCCTAAGGCTATACATTGGAGCCACATTTTCTTTTTAGTTCGGTAATCTAAGAAATTAAAATTCAGTTGTTGACCAGTAATGCTGTTATAGAATACACTATGCAATAGCTAGTGCAGCCATTGGTTAAAACAGTTGGTTCAACATAGGTCTTGGTTGAACCAAATATGTAGAAAAAGGGTAGAAACAATGGAGGCCTGGAATTTTGAATTTTAATCTAGGGTTTTTTTTTTTGCTAGTGTAATCAAGGGTTAATTTAATGAGCTGATATTTTGGTTCATGTTCTTGATGTGGATTTGTGTAACTAATCCAAAACAAAGTGGGTCTTGTATGTTGGATTTTAGTGGTTCCTTTATATTTTTTTTTTGAGAAGATACCCTCTTATCTCAAATTTTTAATTTCTATATCTCATCCGATCCAAGAATTGAAAATATTACTTGTAAGAAAAAAAAACTCTCATCTTTTCTATCTTTAACCCCTTAAACCCTTTTGATCATGTATTATTGATCTCAACAACTTATGAAATGATTTTATCTCTCTTGTTTTAAAATTCTATCTTTTTCTTGCATTATTGTCTCTCTCTCTCAAAACTCTATGTCTAAGAGATTCAAAGTCCATCTTTGTCTTACATCGTCTCGCTCGTTCTCTTTCAAAATTTCATCTCTTCTTAAAACTCAAACTCCATTACTCTCTTTAAAACTCAATCTTTCTTTAAAACCCAAACTCCATATCTCTTTTTAAAACTATTTTTGTCTCACACGTAAGGTGTGGTCGTGGTTGAGCTCAAGTTAAACCTTTCGGTTGGTAAACTCATCGAGAAGCGAAGAGAGATAGAGTTTTAGAGAGAGATGGAGTTTGAATAAAGTGTTAGTTTGGTGTTTGTTTGGGTCAAAAATTTATGGTTAAAGGGGTCTAGGGGGTTGTAAGATAGAAACGATGGAGATTTTTTGTTTACAAGTAATATTTTCAAGGATATCATGAGATACGGAAGTTAAAAATAGAGGATAAAGAGATATTTTCTTTTTTTTTGTTTAGTTTATTGAGAGCTGCTTTTTGTGACGTGCTTGCAATGCCCAGCAAGAGTTTTTTTTGAAGTCTATGGCTCATGTCAAGAAAAACTGCTGCCATTGTCAATCTTATGCCTAAAAAGAGTTTGTTTTGTAGTTCATAGCTCATGTCAACAAAAATTGCTGTCGATCTCTGAGTTACTTTTGAGCATGGCTCGTAGAGCTCAAATTGGATTCAGTTTATTTGCTACTTCTTCAAGGGAGAGAGCATTTTGTAGGGTTTGCAGCTTTGCTAGGTACCCGATCAAATGTTGGAAAATCAACTTCTATTTTTAGAAAGCTTGCAAAATGATAATTTGACTTTATCAATCATGGATTTTAAAAAACAATGTCAATCATGGAAAATAACATGTCTTTTATGTTTTTTGGATTGTTTGGATTGTCTATTTCAAGTGGTCATGACTGTCATATTTGTTATTTTTGGTACTTCAAATTTTATAGTGGGGGAGGAAACATATTCACATGTGATAAGAGGGGTATTTATGATGATGAAACTAGATTTTCTAGTGGGGTTTTTATTGTGGGGAGAAGTTTATATAGAGCCGATGTTCTAAACAATCAAATTTGAGTCTACCTCAAAAATTTCATTAGAAGAGCTTGTTTTGATGCCGAAATATCTTAAAATTGATCATCTCGATATCAAGATTCATGGACCTGAGAAAAAAATGGATTTCAAGTTTTGGAAATAGTGTATTTTGCGACGCATTTTTTGAACGTCAATTTTCAAGATTTTCATAGATATATCGATCTACACTATTTTTGAATCTTTAAACTTTATAAATAAATACAAAAATATTATTTTAAGGCTATCACAAAGATTTTATATTGAAACCACATATCTCAACACTATTTAAAGGTAAGCTCTAATTTGATTGTTTAGAGCCTAGGCTCTATAAAAACCGCACGCCCTTTATTGCGAGGCTTTACAAACTGCGGTAAAGCTTTAGCCCTAAAAATATTTACCCACATTTGATTATAAATATATTCTTTCTATAATGTGGCCCAACAAAAACTTAAAATTGACATTTTTTAAATTATATTAAAAAAGTTCATTCTTTATGTTTAAAAATTATTTATTTTTCCAAATACATGTTCGGCATGGTTGAGAAACTGAATGTTTCAACATATTATCTGAACCGTCCGTTTTCAAGATTTTTATAAGTTTATTGATTTACTTGATTTTAAACTTTTTAAAAATTTATAATTAGAGATGAAACTAGATTTTAATCTCATCTTATAATTTTTTTATTTTGTTTAAGGTCACAACCTTATACAAACCACGCCTTTTGAGTTTGAGGGAACTTTTTATGTGACTGTAACAACATATAAATTATACGCGACCCCACTTCTCAGCCGTTCAATCTTAATCGAACGGTTATTAATGTTCATGCCACATTAATCGAATGGTTATTAATTTTTTGATGAAATTTTGGGTGTCCCTCATAAAAGTAGGGTGAACTTAGAAAAAATGAAAAATAAATATTTTCTTTGTAATTTTTAGGGGTATTCTAGTAATTTGTCATCCCCTGAACACTTTTTTATTTTATTTTATTTATTTTTTATTTATTTTTATCATGTGCACTTTTATCAAATGTCTGCATATCTTAAATTTTGTTTTAAAATGATTTATAGAATAAAAATAAAAAATAAAAAACTTTGAGCCGTCCAATCAAGATCTAATGGTTAAGAGTTAGTTTGTGACATTGTGACTCAAGCCATCTTAGCCATCTACTCAGATTTGATGACTAAGATCAGGGGACGAGTAGGTGGGGTTCCATAAAAACATTTCCCCTTTTAGCTCAATTTTTACTTAGTTTTTATTGAAATTGTGCTTTTAGTTCTAGAAATTCGATATTTGGCAGTCCAGATTTGAATATCGAATTTTTAACCTATTTCGTTCAGAACAGTAAGTTGCAATATTTAAATTTCTTTCATAGAAAAAATTATTGCTCCTTCATTTATTTGTTAGAAATTATTTATCTTTAAAGATAAAAAAAAATAAAATCTCCAATTTCAAGCGTGAAAAATTACACTTCCAATTCCAAACTATCATAATTCATTCGTAATAAAATAAACTCTTGAACTTCGTGACACACTATAAGTCCATCTAATAGTTACAAGTAATTGTGATATCTTTATAAGAAAGATAAATAGTCTTATAATATATAATCTCATAAAAATATGGACAAGCTTCTATGTGGCCAGCCTATGTAGAAATGTGGGCTTGATAATAAATATATTTTTGAATATAATTTAATCTTAATTTTTAAATAATATAACATCTTTAACAAAGAAAGATCATGAATATGAAAAAATAAAATTAAAAATAGTAATTATATTAAAAAAATATTTGAACAGCTAGTTACAATTGTTTTTCGATGGACCGCCTATTTACGATGGACCGCCTATTTACGTGGTAAGATGATGCTTTATATCTCACCGCATGTTGTAGAATGCGGTCCAGCTCGTGTGAACCAATTTTCCAAAAAACAAATAATTTTTAACAAAATCTCCTCGTCCTACTGTAAAGCATTTCTCTCTCTACAAGTTTCTCATCTCTCATTCTCTCTCCCCTTTAGCATTCAAAGTTTCTCTCTCTAGAATATTATCAAATTTATCGGTCATTCTCTCTCCTCTTTAGTGTCAGCGGGTTGTGTTCCTCTTATTATATGAGGAGAGATGTGGGCTCTTATGCTCTGCAATGCCCTCCGCTTTCAAACTGGTCCTTATTCATCCAGGTTCTCTCTCCTCTTCTCCCAATCCCTAAGACCCTTTCTCTCTCTCCCTCTTCACATGGATAAAAACTCCAGTGCTTCTCCTTCCGCCTCAATCTCTTCTCTCTCTAGAAGACGGTACGTCCCTGAACGAAACCTAAAAGCTTCTGTTTTCTCTTTCTAGAAAGCACCAAAGTTATTATTTTTTATACCAGTTTAATTATCTATGACCTGTGATTAAATGGAGGATTCATATTAGGAGTTGTGTTTAACGAGAGGAAAAAAAAAAAAAATGTGACAAAGGTCGTAAAACTGAGACATTTATGCTACTAAGCTCATGGTATATATTTTATTTTATAGCATTTAATTGCTTTATTTTTTCCTGGAAAATTTGTTTTCATCGCGATAATTTTTTAGGTTCATAGCACTTGTTGCTGAACTCCCTGGGAGCAATTTCTGTTTTTTTTTTTTGGAGAACTTTTTTAATGGTGAGAGTCCCTGAACCCTAATTTTATTTTGTCAGCCATGTGGAAATTATAGAATTGAAGTTGGGAATAGAATTGGATGCCTCTTTATTAATGTGTGTGTGTGTGAGAGAGAGATGCTTCATAAGGCCCTTGAGGCAGTGGAGTTTTCTTTTTAGTCTTTCTTATCTTGATACAAAAATATAGATTATTTTGATAATGCTGTGTAGTTCTTTTTGTGCTTACTTTAATGGCTGAAAGAACATTTAGTACTAGAACAACAACTTTGTAATGTTTTCTTTGACACATGATAAAAGGAGACGTTCCTTCCCCCACACACACATACACACACAAAAAAGGAAAAAGCAGAGCATGATTAAAGGAAAGAGCTTAAAGGAGCTGAATGGGGAGAGAGGCATGCTTTTTATAAAAAGAAAAAAAAAAAGAGACATGATGAAAAGGAATTGTGTGATAAAATTTGGTGTAGCTGGGTGTCAGGGGAAGCAGTTCAGAATGGGGTGCTTCTCAAACCGCAGAAGGTCGAAGGACTTCGAGAGGTGGACGAGGTTCAAAGGAAACAAAAATGGATAAGATCGATGCCCTTGGTCGACTGCTGTGAGATTTCTTATATTTTCTCTCTCTATCTCTTTTTTTCCCAGTTTATGAGAATTGAAATCCATTGTCTTTTCTTTCTCTTTCTATTCTTAATTTTTTGCGAAGGGCATTTATTTGTCTTGAACTCTTAATTGTGCCCATTCTTATGTCATTGTTGCTTTTTTTTTTTTGTGCATTACTTAATGGTGTTTCAAGCATGGATTTTTTTTTTATTAACGTTTTTCAGTTGGTAAGTGGGGGTGGGATTGAAACAGGTAGTTTCTTTGAACATTGCTGAATATCAACAGTTTAGGAGCTTCATATATAACTATGAATCGAACTTTTTTATTTGTATATATTTCTATTATTGTAATGTGGTTTATTATTAATTTATATTTACCTTATTACAACATCTTGCCTCCAGAACAAGGATTTTGCGCCATATGGCTTCTGAGTTGAATTTGAATATGCGGAGTGATGGTTATGTAAGGGTGAGCGACTTGTTGGAATTGAACCTGCGAACATTTGCTAATGTTGCCCTAAAAGCACATACCATCGAAGATATTAAGGAGGTAAGTTGATTTGATAGCTTCTCTAGCACAAGTTTTTAGTTTACCACTTTTTCCTATTTTATTTCATTGCTAATATGCGGTGTTTTTCTTTTTTTAATAAATGGAATTATAGTCAAAAGAGGTCAATTACAAGGTTTTCAAACTCAAATTTTGATAAATGATCAGTTTTATCTCTTTTCCCAAATTAGGATAATTCATTTGAAGTGTAGATACTCTATTGTTAGAAATATCTTAAGTTAACTATCTCTTGTTTTGGAAAGAAATTTACCTTTCTCAATTAGAATTCACTTTCTATCTTTGGGATCTGGTGCTACACTGCTGCATTGACTCTATTATATAAGCTGATTCCTAACTTTATATCATATCGTGACATTAGTATGCAGGTCTTAGTTGATGTGGCCCCAACCCTCAATTATAGTTCTATGCATGTTTCCTTATCAATTAGATATTTTATCCATATCATTTAGCTTAGGGATTGTATAAAATGAGACTATTTATCTTTGATACAAGGTGGTCACAATTACTTACAACCATCCGATGTGAAGTATGAAAGCTTGGATGTGTCACAAAATTCGAGAAAAAATCTTTTGAAGTTTGAGCTTGGTCAATGGAATAATTGCAGTCATCCAATTTCACATCTAATGGTCAAGATTAATGTGACCACCTTGTACCAAAGGTAAATGGTCTCATCCTATACTTTCCATTTAGTTTATAGACATATCCATTTCTTCATGTCTGGATCTAGGAGACTCTGTTGAATGATCCATTACTCTTAGTGTATTCTTGAAGAATATTTGTGTTTTTCCATCTGATTTTAAATATTTCCACATTTTTATATCTTGTTTGGGAGTAGTCATTTGCAATATTACCCATTTCCTTTTTGTCATTTTGTAAACCATAAGCCGACCTGATGTCTTCACAACTTCACACACATACACACACGAGTTAGGCATTTTAGCAGATTATTATGTTTTTTTCTACTGGATCAATGTATTTTACCACTATTTTGTAGAAAAAGAAATACCATATGTGTGCCAATACATGGTTCCTAATGGTTTATATAGATTCTAATGCTTTTGATGTACACATTATGCAGGCTGTAAGGAAGGACAGCAAACAACGTTTCAGCCTTCTGGAAGAAAATGGGGAGCTTTTGATTCGTGCCAATCAGGGCCACTCAATAAAGGTAGATATCTAGATACGACCTTAGTGAGGAGTCAATTGTTGGGCGCGATTAGTTTGTTAATTAGAACACTATTTCCCTAGTTCGATTCCTACTACAAAACTACCCATGTGGGTAGACATTGTTTGAAATGAGATTCACCCAACCTTTTACGTCGTACGGGAGTAGACGGAAGACGATTTCTAAAATGAGACTTTGAAAATGAACAAGAGTTTAGGCTCATGTTTGGAGCTGGTTGACAGAAATGCTTCAAAATGATTTTGGAGGAGCATGAAATGATTGCAAAGTAATTCGAAATGATATGAAATTATGATGAAATGATGGTGGTTTTGCATTGGACCAGTATACAATCCCCATTAACCCCCCCTCCATTATTGTTTCCCATTGGATTCCCACAGCTACCATTACTATTGGCATCCCCCACTTCTCTCTTTCTCATTCCTCCCCATATTGCTTGTCCCCCTCCATCTCTCTAAATTTTTGTAGATAACTCTTCAATGCTCAACATACCCTTCAAACCCAAGAGTGGGCACCCAAGAGTGGTCATGGCCCAAGGCAAATCATCCCCCAGTGATGATCTTCCTCCTCTCTCTCCGACATTTATCAAAGGCCTCCGCTATTTATGAACTCGGAGATGCATTCCTCTTCATGGCCCTTGTCTTCCTCTTCAACTCATGGCTTTCCTAGGCCTCTTCAAAGCCCAAGGGATAGAGAGACGTGGCCAAAATTTGGCGCCAGGCTCTCTCCTTTGGCCACATGCCCCTCAAGCTCTTCCCTTCGGCACGAAGGGATTTTATATTTATTTTTTTTATGCTTTATCTGAGGTATGGAGGACTCGGCCAAACCCACCCCGACTCGGCTTGGGCCAGGGCCGTGTACGTGCCCCGAGTCAAATAAAAAACATTGCTCTACAGTCCCAATTATCACAATAAAGTAACCCAAAAGATATTCTACTCCATCGGGTAAAGCCCCACCTAGAATTAATTTTAGGACCCCAAAATTTTGAGATATAACCTCTTTAACACATAGATTAACCTCAATAATTAAAAAAAAATCCTAACTCTGAGCACTGGAAAAAAATAATGTCTCAAGATTGAATAGAAACAATCCAATTTTTAGAGGGTGAGATCTAAATGTTAAAAAATTCAAATTTCAATTTTTTTCATTTGAGAACAATCATCTAGTTATTCTTAGGTGTTTCCTAAAATTCCAAATTGAAAAAATCATCCCAAGTAGAGACTGAGGGAGTAGAAGTAAACTATGCTTCAGAGGGAAAACAGTATACATGCTCAGAAAGCAAATAAGCATCTCTATTTTAACTTTATCTCAAAAAAAAGAGTAAAGAAGCATCTCTTAATTATAGTTATCCCTGACCACTTTTGTCTTTTTGTAGAACATACTTGACTGGCTGTACCTAATCATTGGACTCATTGTTGGTTTTGATGTTTCACTTTCCAGGATATTACATCGGAAAGCTTATTGAAGCCGATCCTCTCTGCTGATGAAGTCCAAGGTGATCTCTGCCCCTCTGGCTCTCTCTCTCTCTCTCTGGCCCCCGCCCCCCAAAAAAAAACATTTCAAGAATGGTTAAATATAACTCTAAAAGCTACCATGCTCAATTATGCAGTTTGTGTACATGGAACATACAAGAAGAATCTTGATTCAATCTTGCATTCCGGGCTCCAACGTATGTCGAGGATACATGTTCACTTCTCCAGTGGCTTGCCAACAGATGGAGAAGTAATTAGTGGTATGTTCTTTCACGAATTACATGTGAATGAAGTTATCCAAAAAAAATTGAATTATAAATGAAAATAAATTGCGGAAAGATGTATTGCTTCTGGTTACCAAGGGAAACTCTCTAGTCATTATTGTTTTTTATTTCTTAGAGGTGTAATGGTAATGTAGCAAGTAAGAAAAGGAGAATATAATCTGCAGAAATGATAGAGAAGAAAATGAAGTCTGGGAATGATGAGAAAATGAATCAGGTGAAGGAGATTGAATAAGAAAGGAGGAAACTGGAAATGTTGATAAAGGAGATGCGAAGATGAAATTGAAGTAGAGGAAGAGAAAGGGTATCATCAAAGAAAAAATGGAGGGGAAAAAGATGATGAAATGCAAGGCCAAAAAAAAAAAAAAGAAAGAAGAAGAAGAAGAAGAAAGGAAGAGGTGAAACACTTGCAATGAAGGATTTTCTCAAGAGAAATGTGGATTTTTTTTTCCTTACAGTTCTATTAAAAGAGATGGAAGATTTTTAGTTTTTATATATGCATTTCTTTAGGTTTCTGATTAAACTATATGTATGATGCACGCACTTTCTTTAGGTCATTATTATAAGAATTAAGTGTGTGATATTTAGGTTAATTAAGTTCTAACCGAACTACTGATTCTTATTTCCAGGAATGCGTCGTGATGTCAATGTTTTGATTTTCTTAGATGTCAAAAAAGCTTTGCAAGGTAATTACTGTGTTTTTTATTAGATGTGCTTTCTATGTGTCTTGACACATGTAATTGTGTGCCTAGACAGATCCAACCATTTGATTTTGATTGGATGGCTGTGGGTGAGCAGACAACAAAATCATACATTAATTGTGGCCCAACAAAATACATCTGGCAGCCGCTCTTAACATTGTTCCATGCTCACTCCTAGTCATCCAATTAAGATTGTATGAATGTGGATCTCCAGACACAAGTTATATGTTTATAGGGGCACAAAGAAGTTCCCTTGTTTATACCTCAAAAACAAAAAGGTTCCCTTTTTGGATGGTCTAAAATTTCATAAGAAATGTTTGATGATCCATTTGTTGAAGTATTTTGAACCTCTTGATTCAGATGGGATGAAGCTTTACATATCAGACAATAAGGTAATTTTAACAGAGGGGTTTGATGGGGTAGTGCCTGTCAAATACTTCACCAAAATCGAAACATGGCCTGGTAGGCAATCCATTCCTTTTTGATTAAGATGTTCATTATCTCCTCTTCCTTATAATGCCACTGCACGCCCCCCTCCTGTCTCTCTGGGGTTGAGAGGCATGGGAATTCTCTTTGGGTTTTCCTGTAGAAGCATGAGAAGCAGAAACATGGTTGAAAAGCATGAGAACGGCAAAAGCTGGTGTTGAGTTGAGCTACCTTAATGCAAATTTTAATTATTATTTCAGGAACTTAAGACATTGTAATGTTTATATTAGGAGTCCAATTTTACGCGTTTTGGCTATTTCCTTCTCTCTCATATTTGTGCTCTCCTTTTCTTTTTTCTTTGTTTTTTTTTTTTTTACGCACCCATGCATGGGTGGAGAGTGCAGCAGGATTCTAACTTGGGATGTAGTATTGCAATTGTCACGAACTTGACAAATTACCCACGCTTGAATTCTGAAAAAATTGCAGAAAGTGTGTGCATGATACATAATGTCATGCTAAAATATTCGAGCTGCGGTGTGCTTCGTCCTATTTAACACATCTAGGAATAAAGTTTTGTACATTTATACATAGAATCATTTTTACAGAGGAAAAATTAACTTCTCTTATACATAGGATCTCAGATTTTGCACACACCTAGATCTCATCAAGGTGATTAAACTATAAGAGAATATTCAATTTGCAGAGGAAAATGGGAAAAAATGAGTCTGCCATATGTAGTGGCAGCATGCCCTTCATGGTCAGTAGATATAGGCCTTTAAAACATTAAAATAAAATTATTTTAAATTATTCATTTCTTGATTAAAAATATAGAAATATACACCTTAAAACAATTGTGAGCATTGAGTATTCTTTCTAGTAAACAAGATTTTGCTCAACATAAGGATTAAGAGAAAATATCATTGATATGGTCAAACCAGCCCATATAATTTGAGTTTTTTGAGTTGGTTAAATCAAGTAGTATGTTACTAAGTGGTTTCTTTAAAATGTATTTTCACTGGCGTACCTTAAAAATATGGTTAAATGATTTAGTATTAGCAATAAATTGGCTTCTTTAAAAATGTGATTACATTTGAGTACCTTGAAAAACTTTAGAAGGGTACTTCTTTTAAATTAAATCTTGAAAAAGTATGGGGGTATTTTGATAATTATTTGAACTTAAGTGGCCTCAATCAAATGATGTAAATACCTGTACTTGTTTGTAGTTGAGTTTTATATTGAGAACACACTGTTTTTGCTAGCCCAAAATAATCCTGAGTATTTTATATCATTTGATTCTATTGGAGCCAAATCATAGCTCTACTATTGCTTCTTCTGGGCTCCGAACTCCGCAAATATATATATCTTTTCATAAAAACATTTTATTTTTGGGTTTAGAATTCATAACAAGTAACAATTTGGCTACATTTGTTTTAGGGTGCAGTTGGCATACGGATGCATTCGCAGTTGTAGAGGTAAGGTGCACCTTCAAATTTTATCATGGTATATAATTTTGATGTAAAATGTTTTTAGGATTATTACAAATACTATTTTATATCTA